ATGCTTTTATCAAAAATTCATAAACTATACTTAATGTAGTTTGTTATATGTGTTCGAAATGAATGGAGGAAAAACCTTAACATGAATGACTAATTTCTGTTTATGATGGTAAACTAACTAGAATGCATCCAAACATTTAGAAACTTATTGTTATGCACTTTGCTCAGCATACTACAAAGTGTTGTTAATATGGTAAACCATGTAACTAGGTTTTATCCTTTCTGCACTGTTTTGAAGTCATCATAGAAAAATCATACAAAGTCAAAAACTAACTCCGTAAAATCTAAGAGTTTAGAAAGTATGTCTAGTTTATTCATAATTTTTATTATGGTTTTTAGAATTCTGTAACTTATGTGAAAGTGTTCATAATCTCAGACTGGTCCGAATTCGTTTCTGAAATGATAAGCAGTTTTGTAAAAATCACCATAGATCGTAGAAAAAACGTATGGAGATGTGCAAGTAGTAATTTTAAAGGTATAAACCTGAACTAATTGCATATTAAACAGTTTTGAAAAACATTAAGTTTAAGTTGGGTAAAACAGTTCGTGAACAGGTCACAACTTTTGTGTTGTAAGCTATCAAGTTAAGTTTTGAATATGTTTTGGTGTTTTAACTTGTATTCCCTCCATCAAACTGAAGAAAACTAGAAAATGTAGGGGTATGAACTCACCTTATGTGATTCCTTGAAGGATTGAAGGTTGAAGATGATGAGTTTCAAGTGAAGAACACTTGATGAACACTTGAAGTTTTTGGATGATCCTAAGAACGATTTTGTGTTAATATGTGTGTAGATGATCCAAGAGTGTTATGAAAACATGTAATAGAACTTTGATTTAGAAGGTAATACTTACTAATAAGTGAATAAATGACTCAAGAACACCTCAAAAGTGTGGCTGAAAGTTGAGAGAAAAGAGGCCCTCCTGATGGTTTAAGAAGTGTATAAGTGTTTGATGGTGAAGCAAATGATCAAGGAAATCCCAGGCATTTCCTTATATGGAGGGTTGCTGGAGCAAGTGGCTAGGGTGAAAGGATGTTTGCCTTGGTTTGTGTGATGTGGATAAGGTTGGATCAATGACAAAGTGACACATAGGAGGCAAGTGGGCACACTTGACCCACTTGTGGTGTAGGATACTCTTCTTAATGTAAAATAATGATTTATAATTAATAAATCCTTGAAAAATAATTGAAATAAGAGTTCTGGGGGTTAAAAATGATAAAATTATGAATTTGGTTAAAACATCCCGTCAAAAATGGGCTTAGGAAGCGAAAGTGGTCGAAAATCAGGCAATATGGACCGAACCTGCGAGGTTCGGCTCTAAGAGAGTGAGAACCGTGAGAATGGAAAGAAGGAACCAAGAGGAGGACTAGGGACCGAAGGTGTGAGGGTCTCGGATGGGGGGCCGAAGTTCGGTCCTTGCTGTTGGCTTTCGGTCCGAGATGGCTTCTGACAAGTTCGGTTCTGACAGGAGGTTCGGCTCCTAAGAGGTTCGGTTCCTAAAAGGGGTTTCGGCCCTATTTAGCTGTTTTTCGATATAACTCACCAATTCGAGCAGTTTTTAGCGAAGTTAAGGGTCGGGATGACTATAGAATGTTGAGAGAGATTTGGGAGAGATTTCACATAATTGGAGAGATTTGGGAGAGATTTAACATACTTGGAGAGATTTCACATACTTAGAGAGATTTGGGAGAGATTTCACATACTTGGTGAGATTTCACATTCTTGGGGAGATTTGGGAGAGATTTCACATACTTGGAGAGATTTGGGAGAGATTTCACATACTTGGAGAGATTTGGGAGAGATTTCACATACATGGAGAGATTTGGGAGAGATTTCACATAGTTGGAGAGATTTGGGAGAGATCTAACCTTAGCCATTATTATCACATAATCTCGTAATGCAAGGTTTGTGAACCTCATTATGCTTCGTTAATGATCGTTTTTTAAGTCCCCGAAAGGGTCCTTAGTCGTGTTTTGATGCGTTTAACTCCCTTTTTAGGGTTTTTACATTGTTAACACATAGATTCTTCGAGACACTTGAATTTTTGAAAAACTGAAATATTCGGTTCGGTTTGGGTTTTAGAAATTCAAAAACCGCAAAATAACTGAACCACACCGATTGTGAGGACATATATTGTTCCAAGTGTTGGGTGACTAGTTATGTTTGGCAATGTTTGTATCAGTAGCAAAACATGAAACAAAAAACAATTTTAAAATATTACAGTGAACTAGGAAATAGGAAAAGAAAAGATTAAATGTTGAGATTTTTATTATCACTAAGATTTGCTAATGTTTTTCTAAAATGAGGGCAAACATAAATTTTTGTTTGGAAGTGGGAACAAAGGAAATAGTTAGTATGTATGTATGTATGTATGTATGTATGTATGTATGTATCTATATATATATATATATATATATATATATATATATATATATAAAAGGTGAGGTTCAATAAAGAACCATAATTAACAAGGGACCGAAGAACCAATCATGAGCATCAGAAATCAAAAGGATCAACGATCAACGAAATAAATATACACTTTTACATTGGACGCAAACATACCAGTTTATACCAAAAAATCCACCTCCTTACCAAAAACTCACCTCTTTTTTACGTTTTAAATTTTTTTAGGCCACAATTTTTATCAAAAAAAAAAAAAATTGAATATACCGTTGTTCTCGATTTTTCGTCATCTTTCCATAGAGATTCATATTGATATATAAAAAATAAACTTTTTTTTTTCCGAAAAAAAACTCACCTCATTTTGTTAGTTTTTTCAATATTTAAGTTTATTTTTATCAAAAAAATATATATACCAAAAATATTAATTTTTTGTACTCTATTAATGAACATCAACACCGACTTAAAAAAATAAAAATAAAAATATCGTACAGTATAGATTCATAATGTGAATCTAAACTGTAAATATTTTAATTTTTTAACATTCGCAATGTGGAAAAACTCTTATTAGTTCAGATTCACAATGTGAATCTGAAAATGTTCACAATATGAATCTAAACTAAAATATTGTTTTTCTTACATGAATATGAATTTATGCTTAAAAAGTACAAAAAATCATGAATTTTTATATATTTAATACTTTTTTTCTATAAAAATATAGACCTTAACTTTTCAACAAAGAAAATAAAGTGCGTTTTTTTCGAAAAAAAAATTTCGTTATTTATATATCATCATAAATCACTTTGGAAAGAGAACGAAAAATCGTGAACGATATACTCGGTTTTTTTTCGATAAAAAACATGACCTAAACAAATTTTAAACGAGAAAAAGAAGTGCGTTTTTTATAATCCGGTGCATGTACGTCTATTGTAAAACTTTTTTATGATAAAATCGCAGCTTTTAGTACAACGTAGCTGAAATTTAAAAAAAAAAAAAAAAAAAAAAAATTTAAAAAAAAAATTGATTTTTTATTTTTTTTTCAGCGATTTTTCTATAAATTTTTTTTTTAAAAAAGTATTGTGATCTCTAAGTATTTTTTTTTATGTATTTTTATGATTTTTAGAGTTTTTTTGTTTACCAAATAACCAATCTTTCTCTCTCTCTCTCTCTCTCTCTCTCTCTCTCTCTCTCTCTCTCTCTCTCTCTCTCTCTCTCTCTCTCTCTCTCTCTCTATATATATATATATATATATATATATATATATATATATATATATATATATATATATATATATATATATATATATATGGCATGTGTTGGTATTTCATATAGATTAAAAAAAAGGAAACAAAAAATAAAGTGTTAAATTTGCCTATGACATGTATTGTTGTCACATTTATGTTGATAAAAGTATTATATATATATATATATATATATGGCATGTGTTGGTATTTCATATAGATTAAAAAAAAGGAAACAAAAAATAAAGTGTTAAATTTGCCTATGACATGTATTGTTGTCACATTTATGTTGATAAAAGTATTATATATATATATATATATATATATATATATATATATATATATATATATATATATATATATATATATCATGTGTTGTATTTCATATAGATTAAAAAAAAGGAAACAAAAAATAAAGTGTTAAATTTGCCTATGATATGTATTGTTGTCACATTTATGTTGATAAAAGTATTATATATATATATATATATATATATATATATATATATATATATATATATATATATATATATATATATATCCAATATTGAAAATATGTGGCCTCTATAATTAAAAAAAAAAGATGGTTACTTGATGAACACAAGAGAAAAAAAACGATATAAATAGAAGGTGTGGTTATTAAAAAAATGGGAGATGTATTTGTTTTATGCAATTAAAAAACGTGTAAATTGTGAAAACACAAAAGAAAAAGAATTTTTATATTAAAAAAAAAAAAAAGCCCAATGGTGTCATGCGGCTCCCAAATATTTTTTTCATAAATTTTTTAGGGATAATATCACTGTAGCACATGAAACTTTTTACATTTGATTAATTTGGTCATTAAAGTTTTTTTGGTACATTAGACCATTAAACTCGTATATGACATATTAATTTAGTCATTTTCGATACTTGTAAACGGTTTTACGGTTAACATTTTATATATGTCAATTAATATATATTTTTTGGCTAATCTGATGCCACATGAGATATGCCACATCAATAAATGGTATATGAAGCTTAAAGCCTTTCGTCTTCAGCTATCGAACTTCACTCGTCTTCATTATTAAGCTGTAAACGAAACTGATTTAGGATTTATGAATCATTTATGTTATTGAGCAGAAGAACCAAAGAAGTCGCAACAGTGGCAAAATCGGAACCTAATGGAGTGTTTGTGATGGTGGAACTCAACTACCAGTGGGTATTTAATCAGAATCCTTTCTCTTACACTAGTGGTGTGAAAACCATGTTCACTGATGTCGACTTTTCTTTTATGACTTATTCTGAGTTTCTGACCTTCTGCAAACATTTCATGCATGAACAGTGTAAAAAAAATTTACTACTGTAAACCATGCAATTTCCTGATGGAAGGGCTTAATCCTATCTCTGATGATGTGGAATATGTTGCTTTTATTTTTTATGCTAATGGAACATATGGTGTAATTTCAGTTTATGTGGATCATATTGGGGTTGGTGTTGATGGGTGGTTTGATGATGAAGATAATAATGATGATGAACATGAGTCTTGTAATGATGGTGAAAATGAAGATAACATAGATGAACTTAGGAATGTTGTCTTTAAATTTAATGAGGATGTAGTGCATATGAATAAGACATCAAATGATCCTTTCTTGAGTAAGTTATGTGTTGATGAGGATGAGGATAACAACATTGTAAATGATGATACTAGGAGAGAAGTTGAACCTAACATCCAAACTAATTCCATATTTAATGAGCTATTACACAGGAAAAAACAAAAACCAATTCTAGGAGTAAGATTTAAGGGTCCAGGGAAAGTAAAATTAATGTTGTGAAACTATGTTGTGGCTAATGGATATCAATTGTGTTTTGAAAAAAATGATATGAAAAGACTTTTGGTAAGGTGTAGCAAGGGTGCTTGCACATTTAGATTATGGGTGTAACGACCCAAAATTTAAGACCAAAAATTTCTTTTAATAAATCATTACTTAAAGTAAAGTCATCATTCCAAAACATAATATGAGTATAAGTTTTCAAAACACATGTTCATTATCAGAGTAAATATTCCCAGGCTGTCTAATCTATGGTGTGTGCCATGCGATCACTCCGAGCTCTTCCCTCCGCTACCGGAAGTACCTGAAACCAAAACTGAAAACCGTAAGCACGAAGCTTAGTGAGTTCCCCACCCTACCACATACCATGCATAACCACATACTGTACATACTGGGCCACGCCCACTACCTTAGGCCTCGCTCGCTACAACGGCCCCGCCGCTCTAGGCCCCGCCTGGCTTCGAGCCCCACTCGGATACATATATGTTTTACTTAGGCCTCGCCTGTCACAGGGCCTTGCCCGCCAACAATAATAACACATAAACATTTCACAACACATAGCTAACACATACAACTGGTTCTGTCCTAAGGCCTCGCCTATCCTGGGCCTCGCCCATGTCCTGCTACTGATGAGTCATGGGACCCCGTCCACGCTCCTAATGGTAGTGAGGTACGGGCCTAGCCCACTCTCACTCCTATTCTAGTTTGGGCCTCGCCCCTATTCTGCTACTAATGAGATATGGAACCCCATCCACACTCTACTATTGGTGAGATACGGGACCTCGCCCACACTCAACTCCCTACCAGGCGCATACATGTATCACACAGACAACAAGTATAAACTATCATATAAACAATTCCTTGGGCACCCGCCTGCTATTACTGGACCTCGTCCTGAAAATAATACTAGCATACTGTGCCTAGGGCTAACCCCGGGTCTTCTACTCATAACTACATGGGCCGGCATTGTGGCCTTAGACCCATTCACACAAAGGGAAACTCACCTGCACTGGTTGAACTTGCGGATGATCTCACTAGTCGCTGCCCGACCACTCACGGAACTCCCGCTCCCCTTGCTCCCCGAACTACCAATATCAAAGCAACACTGAGTCTAACTGACCCCCGAAAGACAACAAAGTCCACCCTGGTCCAAGTCAAAATCCTGGTCAAGGTCAACCTTCCAGGTCAACCCTACTCGCCGAGTCACCCTACTGACTCGCCGAGTTCATAATGTTCAGATTCCTTCCATTCGTGACTCGACTCGCCGAGTCAGTCCATGACTCACCGAGTCTATCGATTTTTGAGTCCAGACCTGTCCAACTCACTGAGTCTCTACTCGACTCACTGATTCGAGTCTCAACTCGAAGGGTTTGGGGTTTCGCGACCTGACTCGCCGAGTCCAAGAACAGACTCGCCGAGTACAAGGCAATCTTCATACGACTCGACGAGTTGTTCATCCCACTCGTCGAGATTCTCCACAACTTCATGCTACTCGCCGAGTCCACTCAAAGGACTCGCCGAGTCCCTTCAGTTCTCCTTACATGCAGAGGATTTTAGAGTCATGCATCGACTCCAAACTGTAGATCTACCCTTCCCGAGCCTATTCCACACGTAAAGTTGCAAACTTTACGTGTAGAGAATGAGATCTAGGCAAAATATGCCATAAACTAGGGTTTAAGGCCAAGGGGCTTCAAGATCGACTCAATGGCTGTTACTTTATGCTTCTCCAGACCATAACACACTTGGATTTGAAGTAGCAACTTCAGATCCGGCTTCTAACCCATAAGGGTGGCTAATCATGGCTTAAAAGCCCCAAAACTCACAACCAAAATAGATCTAAGGGAAGGAAATGACTTAATACCTTGAATACTTCAGAAAGGTTCCACAAACTCCAGATCTGAAGCAAACCCTTGAAGCTTCACTGCTTCCCCTCCTTCTTCTTCCTTCAAATCACCCAAAAATGGCTTGGAAGCTTGAATGTACAACAATGGAGGCTTAGGCTTCATTTTCTGAACAAGGGAGGCTCTAAGGAACCCTAATGGAGAGAATAAGAAGCTTAAATAGCGCCCAAAGTCCCAGATTTAGGGTTTTCCTCCAGCGTCTTACAACCGGACCTGCTCACGAACTCCCTGATGTCATCCCTCAGCATCTCGTGGTATTGTGCCTTCTTCATCTCCTCATCCGCGACATACTGCGGAACAAGAAGGGCTCTCTCTCTAAACTTGGCGGTGATCTCCGCCACAGTCTCAGTAGTCTGCGTCAAATCCTGAAACTCCCAGGCCAACTGCTGCACCTCAATAATCGGCGAAAACTCCGCTCTGAACCTAGCTGAGAAATCACTCTAGGTCATCGCATCCAACGCGACATCATCACCCAAAGCATGACCAATCTCCTCTCACTAATCCCTTGCTCTGTCCTTCAGAAGACGGGAAGCGAGTCTGACCTTGTCCTCCTCAGGACATCGGCTCGTACAGAATGCGTTGGCAACATCAGCCAACCATCTGCTGCTAGCGATGGGGTCCCTAGCCTCATGATAATCTGGTGCCCCGCAAGCCCTGAACTCCCGAAATGTCAAGGTACGCGCTCCCAACAAAGCCATCATCTCAGTACGGAAGGCTCCCAGCCTCTCATCCAAACTCTCCAATATACCCTCCTTGACCGTGCCAAAGATCACAGGAGTCTGAGCTAGAATACTGCGTGTCACCTCGGCTGATATCAACTCTCTCATCCGCTCTTCGAGCTGCTCGGCCCCTAAACCCGAGCCCAATCCCTCTCCGGCACCTGATCCACCCGCTGGTCCCTCTTGCAATGTCACCATACTGAAACATATAACATAACCATTATCAAAATACTCCTCACTGCCGCACATACTCACTACCAGGTTCCTGGTCTTGTCTCGGCCTTTCCCGAATCGAGTACGGATCCTCTGCTTTCAGTAGTACGGGCCCATACTACCTTCCACATCTATCCATACTTTCCTCAAGAACTGCTTTGACTCCACCAGGTCCCTTTTTCTACTACTACTGCTCCCAGCACTATCTCATCCTAGGCTTACCCTAGGGAAACCTTTGACTCAACTCAAACCAGTCCTCAGCTGCTGAAGGCCTCCTTGCAATGCCAATTAGCCATCACCTGGATACCATCACATGTGACAAGGCTCAGATAATCCTTCAAGTAAAAGACTCGTTCCTATAACGGTTGGACTCAAACAAGAGCTGCACAATAGGACCAAATCCAACACTCTGAGATTATTCAACCCTGATCACATGTGACGTGACGTATCCACCTAATGGCTAACTCCCATCACTTAGAATCCCACAATGCACAAAGCAAGCAGCATTCAGACAAGGGAAAATCTAACCATAACATACTCAAGCAACCATATCCACATAGCAAGAATCTGAGCTAGCATGCAACACAACTCATAAACTCAGGCATAACCTAATCAGGCTATCCTACTACTAACTATTCAGCACTATCATACATATCAAAAGCACATATAACAGGCACATAAGGCATCCTCCCTAGATCCTTAGTCCTAATCTAGCATGCTGTTCTATTAGCTGATAACCAAACCATAACTTGTATGGGTATTTTGGGGTACTTACTTGAGCTCGGTTGATTGCATGCACTACACCTCTTTTCTCTTTTCAAAGTTTTCTTCTTTCTGAATTCTTTTTACTTTTCTAAAATCATTTTCTTTCTCAAAACTCTTTTTACAAAACTGTCTTTCCATTTTGAAAACTTCCTTACCAATTCCCCAGTTTGAGTTCAGACACACCCGAGGGCATGTCCGAATCCCTCAAACCAAGGCTCTGATACCAACTTGTAACGACCCAAAATTTAAGACCAAAAAATTCTTTTAATAAATCATTACTTAAAGTAAAGTCATCATTCCAAAACATAATATGAGTATAAGTTTTCAAAACACATGTTCATTATCAGAGTAAACATTCCCAGGCTGTCTAATCTATGGTGTGTGCCATGCGATCACCCCAAGCTCTTCCCTCCGCTACCGGAAGTACCTGAAACCAAAACTGAAAACCGTAAGCACGAAGCTTAGTGAGTTCCCCACCCTACCACATACCATGCATAACCACATACTGTACATAGGCCACGCCCACTACCTTGGGCCTCGCCCCTACCTCGGGCCTCGCCCGCTACAACGGCCCCGCCGCTCCAGCCCCGCCTGGCTTCGAGCCCCGCTCGGATACATATCTGTTTTACTTAGGCCTCGCCTGTCACAGGCCTCGCCCGCCAACAAATAATAACACATAAACATTTCACAACACATAACTAAACACATACAACTGGTTCTGTCCTAAGGCCTCGCCTATCCTGGGCCTCGCCCATGTCCTGCTACTGATGAGTCATGGACCCCGTCCACGCTCCTAATGGTAGTGAGGTACGGCCTAGCCCACTCTCACTCCTGTTCTAGTTTGGGCCTCGCCCCTATTCTGCTACTAATGAGATATGGAACCCCATCCACACTCTGCTATTGGTGAGATACGGGACCTCGCCCACACTCACCTCCCTACCAGGCACATACATGTATCACACAGACAACAAGTATAAACTATCATATAAACAATTCCTTGGGCACCCGCCCGCTATTACTGGACCTCGTCCTGAAAATAATACTAGCATACTGTGCCTAGGGCTAACCCCCGGGTCTTCTACTCATAACTACATGGCCCGGCATTGTGGCCTTAGACCCATTCACACAAAGGGAAACTCACCTGCACTGGTTGAACTTGCTGATGATCTCACTAGTCGCTGCCCGACCACTCACGGAACTCCTGCTCCCCTTGCTCCCCGAACTACCAATATCAATGCAACACTGAGTCTAACTGACCCCCGAAAGACAACCAAGTCCACCCTGGTCCAAGTCAAATCCTGGTCAAGTCAACCTTCCAGGTCAACCCTACTCGCCGAGTCACCCTACTGACTCGCCGAGTTCATAATGTTCAGATTCCTTCCATTCGTGACTCGACTCGCCGAGTCAGTCCATGACTCACCGAGTCTACCGATTTTGAGTCCAGACCTGTCCAACTCACTGAGTCTCACCGACTCACTGATTTGAGTCTCAACTCGAAGGGTTTGGGGTTTCGCGACCTGACTCGTCGAGTCCAAGAACAGACTCGTCGAGTACAAGGCAATCTTCATACGACTCGACGAGTTGTTCATCCCACTCGTCGAGTTTCTCCACAACTTCATGCTACTCGCCGAGTCCACTCAAAGGACTCGCTGAGTCCCTTCAGTTCTCCTTACATGCAGAGGATTTTAGAGTCATGCATGGACTCCAAACTGTAGATCTACCCTTCCCAAGCCTATTCCACACGTAAAGTTGCAAACTTTACGTGTAGAGAATGAGATCTAGGCAAAATATGCCATAAACTAGGGTTTAAGGCCAAGGGCTTCAAGATCGACTCAATGGCTGATACTTTATGCTTCTCCAACCATAACACACTTGGATTGAAGTAGCAACTCAGATCCGGCTTCTAACCCATAAGGGTGGCTAATCATGGCTTAAAAGCCCCAAAACTCACAACCAAAATAGATCTAATGGAAGGAAATGACTTAATACCTTCAATACTTCAGAAAGGTTCCACAAACTCCAGATCTGAAGCAAACCCTTGAAGCTTCACTGCTTCCCCTCCTTCTTCTTCCTTCAAATCACCCAAAATGGCTTGGAAGCTTGAATGTACAACAATGGAGGCTTAGGATTCGTTTTCTGAACAAGGGAGGCTCTAAGGAACCCTAATGGAGAGAATAAGAAGCTTAAATAGCGCCCAAAGTTCCGGATTTAGGGTTTTCCTCGCACAGACGAGACTCGCCGAGTCCACTTGGCCGACTCGCCGAGTTGGCCACTTACACCTTGACCCGGATCCCGCTAGGACTCGCCGAGTCCCCCTTGGACTCGCCGAGTCGAGCCTTAAATTAGGGCTTTTCTTTCCTTTCTTGGCCTTTGAAACTTTGGGTGTTACAATGGGCTTCTTGGATGAGTGATGAAGAGAGTTTCCAAATCAAATCACTAAAAGTTGATCATAATTGTACTAGGAACTTCAAGTTTGGATCATTGGTGACATATGCATGGATTGGGAGTCACTATACCAAAGAGATTGTATAAAATCAGAAAATGAGTGTAAGGAAGCTTAGGGTAAATGTAATGACCAAGTTTGGTATCCAAGTTGGTATGGGCCAATGTAGGAGAACAAAGAAGTATGCACTGAATCTTGTTGAAGGTAGCCTTGTTGAACATTATGGTAAGCTATGGTCATATGATCACGAGATTTTAAGGACAAAGCCTGAGTCAACTGTGAAACTAGATGTGGAGGATGGTCCAGATGGAAAGAAATATTTTAACAAGTTCTATGTTTGTTTTCAAGGAGATAAACAAGGTTGGATTGAAGGGTGTAGCAGGATAATAGGTCTTGATGGATGTTTTCTTAAAGGTGTTTGTAAGAGGAAATTGTTTTGTGCTATTGGGAGGGATGCAAATGACAAGATATATCATATTGCTTGGGCAATGGTTAGTGTGGAGAACAAGTAGAATTGGAAGTGGTTTTTAGTGCTTCTCATTGATGATCTAAACTTGAATTTGGGCAATGGCTTTAGTTTAATGTCAGACCAACATAAGGTTTGTATTTTACATTGTAATTCATTTATATTTATTTTAAACTATCTGATTTAAACCTTTTTATTAATATAGGGTTTGATAGAGGCTGTTAAAGAGTTGCTTCCATATGTAGAGCACAAACAGTGTGTTAGACATATTTTCCAGAATTTGTAGAAGAGATTCACTGGTGTCATATATCATACCTTGTTTTGGAGAGAATCTAAAGCCACAACTGAGCAAGATTTTAAAGTTGTGATGAAGGAAATTGAGATATTGAACCCAGATGCCTATCAATATCTCATGGAGAACGATCCTCAAACATGGTCAAGAGCTTTCTTTCAATCTGGAAGGTATTGTGATGTAGTTGAAAATGGCATCTCTGAAAGTTTTAATGTTGTAATAGTAGATGCTAGGAAGAAGCCCATAATAACCATGTTAGAGGAGTTAAGATTATAAATGATGGACAAAATGTACAACTTGAAATTAAAGGGACAGCAATGGGAAATCATATTTGTCCAGAGATAAGGGAAAAGGTGAATTAGCTTAAAAAATCAGAGGCATTATCAGGTACTACCTAGTGGATTAGACCAGTTTGAGGTAAGGGGAGCAACAGATGCTATGAGGTGGACTTAGAAAGGAAAACATGTTTATGTAGGTTGTGGCAATTGAATGGATACGTATGTGCTCATTCTGTAGCTAGCATATCCTATATTAATAGGGATGTAAAAGCCTATGTAGACAACATGTTTAGCACTACCACATTTAGGAAGGCATACAATTACATAATTGCCCCCATGAATGACAGTGACATGTAGCCAGAGACAAATTATACTCCACCATTGCCTCCTATTAGTAGAAGGATGCCTGGTAGGCCAACTACTAAGAGGAAGAAATCCACTATAGATAATACAGGAACACACAAGGTTTCTAAGGTTGGAAAGAAAATTAGATGTAGTATATGTAAGGAGATAGGTCACAACAAGGCCACTTGTCCATAGAGAAGGCCCCAAAAGTTAAATGTGAAGAAACAAAAAGTTTGTGTGAAGCAAAATGCAGGACAGGTAAAACCATTTAAAATTTAAATTTATTTACATATGATTTGTTACTAACATAATTATATCATGCCATATATGGTGGTACAAGTGAAGCATAACAACATGAAGAGGTTGAAATGACTCCAATTAAGAGGGATACTACTCAAAATGCTATTCAAGTTACTCCTACTAATGTCGAATCCAGTAGTGCAGGGGATTTTAGTCAGTCTATGCAAGTTACTCCACCTAGAAGTTAGGAAGGTGATAAGGGTGTTGTGGGTGAGGAGACTGTTGTGGGTGAGGAAGCTGAGGAGTGTGGTAATATTCAAGATGATGAGGTTATTCCTAATGTCCAAGTTGTTGATAATGTTCAAATTTAGGAGGTTGCTCCTATTATCCAGGTTTAGCAGGTAAGGGCTAGACCAAATTCAAAGATTTTGAAGAGGATGAGGAGAAGAAAGTTAGAGAGAATCTTGAAGCTGAAATTAGGCAAGAGAATTGGTGGTGTTGATGATCTAAGAAATTCTAAGGGAAAGCTCTTCTAATTTATTAGTGTTGATTTTTACTTTTGTGTTATTTGGATTTAAAGTATGTGTGTTAGGATGATGGTAATTTGGATTTAAAGTTTGTGTATTAAGATGATGGTAATTTGGATTTAAATTATGTGTATTTGAATACATGTGATGTGATCATTTATGTATACATGGTGCCTTTTTAAGTTAATTCATGACATGAAAGGGTATTTTGGTCACTTATATATGGATAGTGCCTTTTTAAGTTAACTCATGACATAAAAGGGTATTTTAGTCATTTATGTATGCACGGTGCCTTTTTAAGTTCACTCATGACATAAATGGGTATTTTGGTCATTTATGTATGCATGGTGCTTTTTTAAGTTAACTCATGACATAAAAGGGTATTTTGGTCACTAATAAATGTATGTTGCCTTTTTAAGTAAACTGTTGACATGAAATGATATTGTACTCACTTATGAAAGTATGTTGCCTTTTTAAGTAAGCTCATGACATATAGCTTTGAATATTTCTGCATGGAAAATTTTGGAATAATATGCATGAATGTGAGTGTGTAATATGGTCCTGGATATGGTTCTATAATGGGTTCAAATGTCCTATTTTTCCATTATAAAAACACCCACTGACTATTAACCACAAATGGTCCCCATACATATTGTGTACTTCCATATGGACCACTATCTAATTTGTTCCCAATATAATAACATGCACAACAACCAATTTAATTAAATATAATTATTAAGAATACATGCTATGCATATGTTTCGGTAACATCAACATCTGATTATACAAAATGCCCTACAATTGGGACTTTCAATATTTTTTACATTAATTATCATATGCCCTTTCATTAGGGACATACCAGTTTACAACATCAACACATCAAGGTTGATAGCCCAACTTGTAACTAAAAGCAGCTTCAACACATACAAAATGCCCATCATTACTGACTTTCTAATTTGCCTTTACAAAAAAATACAAAACCTTACAACAGCCACCCTAACTAAGTACAATCACCCCTAACTTCAAAACATAAAAGATCAAGCAAGCAAACAACAAGGAAACCATCATCCTATACCTACCTATTGCTTTCCTTGCATCATAAACTTCTTTCTTACTCTTTTCCACCGTATACTCCTCCTATGACAGCAAGAACTCCACTTCATCAATCCTTCTCCTCAAATTTTTCATCTCAGATAGATCCTCTTTTGCATCAAGTTTCTGCTTCAGAGAATATAGAAGGTTTTTGTAGTACCCTTCTTCCTGTTCTTCGTCTTTCCATTCAAAGAAGGTACATTTCTTCAACCTAGTCTGTAAAAAGCCAATGCATCAATAAATGAAAATGCTTTGATTTGGATAGTAATTAAAGATTAAGAAAATCAGCTACCTTTAATGTACTAACAAAATGGGGTTGATTCACAATCACAAATAATCGTCAAGAAGAAAATAAAATTAGGTTTTTTTTTTACAAAATACAATCAACCATGATCGTCTTTAGACGAAGAAACACCACAACAAACCTTAAATAGTAAGTTATCAAGATCAGGATTATCGGGACCTACCAAATTGTTTTGACAATTCCAGAAATGCCTCCCAGGGTTTGTTATCTTCCAACACGTTCGTTCTTTAGCTGGAACGCCACAATCACAAAGCTTTACTCCTTCTCGTGATTGAACACAAGTCACTTGTAGCTGATTCCTTAAAGTGGATGAGCTCGAAGACATTGTTCTTAAGGACGAAAAGAGTCGGTGGAAAGGATTTGAATTTTCATAAAAGGGTAAGAAACACTTAAATGAAGGTCCAATTGAGAGTTTCAATTAATTAGGCTTGTTCGACAACTCGACTTCTTCAACACATCCGTATCCCATATAAGCTTATTGGACACACCAGCGTGTCACATAAGTATTGTAACCGGTAAACCTTCTTATTTTTTAGATAGTGGTGTAATTAAAAGGTAAAAATGGAGTTTAGTGGTCTAATGTACCAAAAAAACTTTAATGACCAAATTAGCCAAATGTAAAAAGTTTCATGTGCTACAGTGACATTATCCCATTTTTTTTTTGTATTTGTTTTGTGTCCTAAACTCACAAACTTAATATAATTTTTTATTTAATATTATAATTTATAATTTTATGATTGTAAAAATATTTTAATTTATTAAAATGAAAGTTTGAAGATCAAAAAAAATATTGAGTTAAATACATATTATATTGACAAAATTGCAAAAACGGTCCTTGTGGTTGGCAAAACAATGTAGTTTTGGTCCAAAACGAAATATTGGTGCATCATTGGTTCAATTTTGAATACCTTGTGTGATTTTGGTCCCTATGATTGACATTTTTGTGTGGTTTTTGTCCACACCCAACTTAAAAAGACGGATATGCCCTTATATTTCTTTTATTAATTTACTTTTTAATTTCTTATTATTAAAAGAAAAAGAAATAACACCTACCCCACCCCTTGTACTCGCCTTTACCCCCACTCACTTATATATATTCTCTCTCTCTATCTCTATATCTCTCTCTCTCTCTCTCTCTCTCACACACACACACAACAACAACAACACCATCACCGGTCACCTACCACCTATCAAACCACCATTTGTTGAACCTCCACCTGCCGGAAAACCATCTTTTCATTTCCAAATATGCAAAACGAGACCGGTGTCATCATAACATCCCTCTTCCACTATCAGCATTCATCGTTGTCACCTCCCCTTACCGCCACCGAGTCTGACACTATCACCCCATACCATCCATGCCCTCATCAGCGACCATTATACCACCAGAACCGCCGGAAAACCATAGCCTCATCGTTAGAAGACCACCAACACCATATGTGGTATCTGCCATGGAAAGCCCTAAAAAACCCCACCTTCTTTCTCTCTGCTCTATCTCTGATCATCATCTATGAGACAGGAGGAGGTGGTGGCTCAACAACTGGAGATCCGATCTAATCATCACCATATATTACCTTCATCGAACCGATCTACGAGACTACTACCACCAACCTCCTTCGTCACATCTCCCTCACCCTTTCTCCCAGGTCTGCTCAGATTCTCTCAAATCCGTCTATAACCCCAGCGGTGCCGTTTGTAGGGGTCGAGGAGGTGTTTCTCTATGGTGGTGCATGAGGATGAAACAGATAGAGATGGAGGTTGTGGAGGTGATGAATGTGGTTGTTTCAAGCGAGATAGGGGAGATAGAGCGGTGGATTTAAAGTTGTAACACCCCGTTCTTTAAGTGTTTAATTATGAGTCCCTGAGATTTAAGAGGAAGGGTAATTCTGGTCCTTTTACCAGAAATGAGTTTCACCTGAGAAGGTTTCGGGCTGGTGTATGTGTTAGAAGCATTGGGCTTCTCGTCACCCCCGTATGAATGTAAAGTTATTTGGGAGCAGGTTTAGATTAGAGGAGTTGCGGTGTTTTGAAGTTGATCATTGTTTATAGCTCTTTGTGGTATAAGTGGAAAAAGGGTCCCATCTCCAAACCCTAATTTAGGGTCAGTCCCTATATAAGGAACATGATGGTTCACCCCTTAGCCTCCTTATGCTCATCCTTAACCTCAGAAAACCCTAGAACTTGTATTCCCTCCATTATTGGGTGTGTTTGACCTTGGAAAGCTTATTTTGGCAAAAGAAAGGCTTGAAGGAGAAAAGAGAAGTTGTCAAGGAAGAAGATGAATGATTGGAGCTTCTAGATCTGAAGAGATACCATCCTTTGGAGCTTGTTTGAGGTATAAAGCTTCTTTCTTAACATTCATATTGTGTAGATCTATGTATTTTGAAGCTTTGACACCATTCTTGTCCCAAAAGTCCTCACCTTGTTGCATATATCGAATTGGTCAAGATTACCTGTCCTTTCAGACCTTTGGAGAGGTCTTGAGTGAGAAAAATGAGGTCCCAAGGGTTGTAGTTGTTCCATGTGTGAGATATATAGGTCTTAATGGATTAAGACCTTGGATTAAGAGCTTATGGACGTCCCAAGTGATAAAGTTTGAGACTTTATGGATTCTAATCATATTTGGCCTAAGGATCTGAAGTTTGGGCTTAAGAGCTTAAACCATTAAGAGATTAGAAGGACTTAATGAATCCCGCAGTTACGCCCCGCGTAACCCCTGAGTACACCCCGCGTAGCGAGCCAGTGCCCTGTTTCCTTTTGTGAACAATGTTGTACGCCCCGCGTACCAAGGAGGGTACGCCCATCGTACTCCTTCTGTTGGACTTTCATTTTGGGCTTTTGAGTTTGGGCAGTTGGTTATTGGGCCAAGTCTGGGAATTTATGGATAGAGTATTTTGGGCCCAATTATTGTTATGGACATTGGTTCTAGGCCCATTTGGTGAAGTGGGCCCAATTTGGTAAATTGGGCCAATGTTGGACTTTGTATGAGATTTGGACTTTGGTCTTGGCCCGATAAGTGGAAGTATGATTGACCTAATGTTTATTTTGTTATGATGGTTAGTTCGGGATTTGCGGTGAGTTGGTGATTCGAGAGTCTGCTTCTTCAGTTCAGAGTATCGGCATTCGCGAGGTGAGTTATCCTCACTATATCGACAGGGTCTAAGGCACCAAGGCCGGCCCTTTAACGGATTGAGATTCGGATATTGTTGTTATGTTATTGCTTTGATATGTCTGCATCCTGGTAGCTAGGATGGTATATGCTAGAGACCTGGTTAAGGTCGGTTTCCCGATATGTAGAGTGATGCTATGCTAGTGACCGGTTAGGTCGGTATCCTGGTTAGGGTAATGATATGTTATGTGATCTGCTTGATCGGCTTGTTGACTATGAACTGTTATATGATTGTATGTTATGTGCACATGGTTGTTTGGACTGGAGTTGGGTTGAGGCGGGTCCTGCTTTGTGCTGTAGGCCAAGATACCCAGGGCGGACCGGTTGTTCCGAAGGCCCAGCGAGCGGTCCGGATAGGCTGTAGGCCCCACGAGGGCGGACCAGACGTGCCGAGGCTCGGAGAGTGGACCAGGCCGACTGAAGGCCCGATGCGGGCGGACCAGTCATACTGTAGACTCAGAGAGTGGACCAGGTGGGTTGAAGGCCGGTGCGGGCGGACCAACCACACTGCAGACTCGAAGGACATGACTAGACACGGAGGGTGGACTGAAGGCCGATACGGCGGACCAGTCACACAGTAGACCCGATATGCATGGTTGTTCTATGTTCTGTTATGTTATGTATGCTATTTATGTTATGGGTCGGAAGGCACTATGTTATAGGCCGGAAGGCAATATGTTTTGGACCGGAAGGTCGTAGCCTGGAAGGGCGTATATGTGGTTGGTATTTTGGGGGTATCTCACTAAGCTTTCGGGCTTACAGTTGTGGTTTAAATGTTTTTCAGGTTCTTCAGGAGACCGTGGCATGGCGAAGGTGTGATCGTACCGCTCCTCGTGTTTATGTTTATGACATGGTTCTGGGAATACTCTGATAATAAATGTATTGAAAACCTTTTTGTAATAACATTATTAAAAAGGGTTGTTTTTGAAAATTTTAAATTGTGTTGAAATTTTTGGTCGTTACAAAAGTCGTTGTCAGAGTTTTTTGTCCTCTTCTACAACTAATCTTCCACCACTGAAGGCTCCATGTCCGGTAAGTGATCCGATTTGGGTTTAATGTCTCTCTTCATCTCTGTTGACCCGGTTCATTTAGCACGTCACCCACCTAGAAACGATTTTTGATGGGTGATTCAATTTGTGTTTGAACACGTCTTTCCGATGAGGGAGATGCATGTGGAAAATAGGAGTTTTCTGGCAGGCGAAGAGAGAGAGAGAGAGAGAGAGAGAGAGAGAGAGAGAGAGGGAGATAAGGTGGATGGGTGGGCGATAGATGGTGGTGGTTGGTGGCGAATGGTGGTGTACGGTGGTAGGATTTGGTAGTGATGGTGGCAGCTAAGGGTTGTATGTTCTTGAGTGTGTGTATGTGTGTTTTCTTGAAAACAAAAGCAGATAGAGATAGAGAGAGAGAGGGGTGAGTGGCTGGGTCATTTTCTTAATTTTTAATTAATTAAAATGTTAACAAAAAAAATATAAAAACAAATCTAAGGGGCAAATAGTCATTTTAAGTTGATAGGGACCAAAAACAATAAATATCTAATTTTGGACCAATAGTGCACCAAAATTTCATTTTGGACCAAAAGTACATAAATTTGTCAACCATAGGGACCATTTTTGCAATTTTGTCTAATATAATGCAACGTTTCTTTTATTGAAATATAAAAAAAGAAAAAAAAAAACAAAACAAAACTGGTTGATATATATATATATATATATATATATATATATATATATATATATATATATATATATATATATATATATATATATATATATATATATGAGAGAGAGAGAGAGAAATAGAAAAAAATTATTTTTCGGAAAACAGTGTAACTAACAATTACTAATTATAATGATTAGGCTAAGTATATTATATTGGTGTTTAATAGAGTGGTGCATAGAAAGAAAATCCCTTAAACTTTTGATACCTAATCCACCACATCATTCAGGCCTGTAAAATACTATCCACACCCTACAAAATACTATCCACACCCTACAAACAGTTCCAGGTAGCATCTTAAATTGCTTTTTAGCAACAATGACAGGGTCTTTGTCGTAATCCTTTTGAAATATGCGGATCTGAAAACAAAATATATGCAATATTATCATGTAACTATTAAGAAAATTAGAGGAAAAAGGTCAATTGCATACCTGAAGCCA